TTAATATTAGCAGGAGCTGCTAATGTGAGGAGTGTGAATGTCTGTCACCTATCAAAGATATCCTAATGAAGCCTAATATTCTGTTGGCATCACTGTGGGCCTCGGTGCCCCGCTTCTTGGCTTCTCTGCCGGGAAGCCTGAAGCATTGAATCATTCCTTTATTCATTCCCTGAGATTATTTGAAAATGTTGAAAATTCGTTGCATAATACGTTGTGTATTTTTTTTCTCCTTTTCTGTTTAGGGTGTGATGGTGAAACTTGGACCAGTTGCAGCCCTTTCTATAACCATTTCATACATAAATTTATAAGCAAATTGAACAACTTTTATTTAACCAGAATATGCCCCCTTTAGGAAACACGGATGGTAGCTTTGTTTACATTTGATAAACACTTGACGAGTTCTGACACTTTGACGAGCTCTGTTTAGCGTGTTCCAGCTACGGTACACTTTGTTTAGCGTGTTCCAGCTACGGTACACTTTGTTTAGCGTGTTCCAGCTACGGTACACTTTGTTTAGCGTGTTCCAGCCACGGTACACTGTGTTTAGCGTGTTCCAGCTACGGTACACTTTGTTTAGCGTGTTCCAGCTACGGTACACTTTGTTTAGCGTGTTCCAGCTACGGTACACTTTGTTTAGTGTGTTCCAGCTACGGTACACTTTGTTTAGTGTGTTCCAGCCACGGTACACTTTGTTTAGCGTGTTCCAGCTACGGTACACTTTGTTTAGCGTGTTCCAGCTACGGTACACTTTGTTTAGCGTGTTCCAGCTACGGTACACTTTGTTTAGCGTGTTCCAGCTACGGTACACTTTGTTTAGCGTGTTCCAGCTACGGTACACTTTGTTTAGCGTGTTCCAGCCACGGTACACTTTGTTTAGCGTGTTCCAGCTACGGTACACTTTGTTTAGCGTGTTCCAGCTACGGTACACTTTGTTTAGCGTGTTCCAGCCACGGTACACTTTGTTTAGCGTGTTCCAGCTACGGTACACTTTGTTTAGCGTGTTCCAGCCACGGTACACTTTGTTTAGCGTGTTCCAGCTACGGTACACTTTGTTTAGCGTGTTCCAGCTACGGTACACTTTGTTTAGCGTGTTCCAGCTACGGTACACTTTGTTTAGTGTGTTCCAGCTACGGTACACTTTGTTTAGCGTGTTCCAGCTACGGTACACTTTGTTTAGCGTGTTCCAGCCACGGTACACTTTGTTTAGTGTGTTCCAGCTACGGTACACTTTGTTTAGCGTGTTCCAGCTACGGTACACTTTGTTTAGCGTGTTCCAGCTACGGTACACTTTGTTTAGCGTGTTCCAGCCACGGTACACTTTGTTTAGCGTGTTCCAGCTACGGTACACTTTGTTTAGCGTGTTCCAGCCACGGTACACTTTGTTTAGCGTGTTCCAGCTACGGTACACTTTGTTTAGCGTGTTCCAGCTACGGTACACTTTGTTTAGCGTGTTCCAGCTACGGTACACTTTGTTTAGTGTGTTCCAGCTACGGTACACTTTGTTTAGCGTGTTCCAGCTACGGTACACTTTGTTTAGCGTGTTCCAGCCACGGTACACTTTGTTTAGTGTGTTCCAGCTACGGTACACTTTGTTTAGCGTGTTCCAGCTACGGTACACTTTGTTTAGCGTGTTCCAGCTACGGTACACTTTGTTTAGCGTGTTCCAGCTACGGTACACTTTGTTTAGCGTGTTCCAGCTACGGTACACTTTGTTTAGCGTGTTCCAGCCACGGTACACTTTGTTTAGTGTGTTCCAGCCACGGTACACTTTGTTTACTGTGTACCAGCTACGGTACACTTTGTTTACTGTGTACCAGCTACGGTACACTTTGTTTAGCGTGTTCCAGCTACGGTACACTTTGTTTCTATTAAGCCTGTCATCTCTCTCTCTCTCTCTCTCTCTCTCTCTGTCTCTGTCTCTGTCTCTCTCTCTCTCTCTCTCTCTCTCTCTCTCTCTCTCTCTCTCTCTCTCTCTCTCTCTCTCTCTCTCTCTCTCTCTCTCTCTCTCTCTCTCTCCCTCTCCCTCTCTCTCTCTCTCTCTCTCTCTCTCTCTCTCTCTCTCTCTCTCTCTCTCTCTCTCTCTCTCTCTCTCTCTCTCTCTCTCTCTCTCTCTCTCTCTCTCTCTCTCTCCCTCCCCCCCCACCATGACACACAGTGGGGCGTTGTTTTAGCACACGCTGTGAGGTAAGTGCAGCAGAGCACGCTGATGAGTGAGAGTGATATATAGACCTGAGCCGTGGCGTGCCTTCACGGCTGAGTACCTGTTGATCCATCACTCTCACCCACTGCCTGGTTGATCACTCTCACCCACTGCCTGGTTGATCACACTCACCCACTGCCTGGTTGATCACACTCACCCACTGCCTGGTTGATCACTCACCCACTGCCTGGTTGATCACTCTCACCCACTGCCTGGTTGATCACACTCACCCACTGCCTGGTTGATCACTCACCCACTGCCTGGTTGATCACACTCACCCACTGCCTGGTTGATCACACTCACCCACTGCCTGGTTGATCACTCTCACCCACTGCCTGGTTGATCACTCTCACCCACTGCCTGGTTGATCACTCTCACCCACTGCCTGGTTGATCACTCTCACCCACTGCCTGGTTGATCACTCTCACCCACTGCCTGGTTGATCACTCACCCACTGCCTGGTTGATCACACTCACCCACTGCCTGGTTGATCACTCACCCACTGCCTGGTTGATCACTCTCACCCACTGCCTGGTTGATCACACTCACCCACTGCCTGGTTGATCACTCACCCACTGCCTGGTTGATCACACTCACCCACTGCCTGCATGGTTGATCACACTCACCCACTGCCTGGTTGATCACTCTCACCCACTGCCTGGTTGATCACTCTCACCCACTGCCTGGTTGATCACTCTCACCCACTGCCTGGTTGATCACTCTCACCCACTGCCTGGTTGATCACTCTCACCCACTGCCTGGTTGATCACTCACCCACTGCCTGGTTGATCACTCTCACCCACTGCCTGGTTGATCACTCACCCACTGCCTGGTTGATCACTCTCACCCACTGCCTGGTTGATCACTCACCCACTGCCTGGTTGATCACTCTCACCCACTGCCTGGTTGATCACTCTCACCCACTGCCTGGTTGATCACTCACCCACTGCCTGGTTGATCACACTCACCCACTGCCTGGTTGATCACTCTCACCCACTGCCTGGTTGATCACTCACCCACTGCCTGGTTGATCACTCACCCACTGCCTGGTTGATCACTCACCCACTGCCTGGTTGATCACTCTCACCCACTGCCTGGTTGATCACTCACCCACTGCCTGGTTGATCACTCTCACCCACTGCCTGGTTGATCACTCTCACCCACTGCCTGGTTGATCACTCACCCACTGCCTGGTTGATCACTCTCACCCACTGCCTGGTTGATCACTCACCCACTGCCTGGTTGATCACTCACCCACTGCCTGGTTGATCACACTCACCCACTGCCTGGTTGATCACTCTCACCCACTGCCTGGTTGATCACTCACCCACTGCCTGGTTGATCACTCACCCACTGCCTGGTTGATCACTCACCCACTGCCTGGTTGATCACTCTCACCCACTGCCTCACATTTGTTATCCACCAGGTATTGGTGGATAACCAATAGCTTTAAAAATTACCACGTTTTAGTTTCAAAATTTCATAATACCCCGTAATGTGGACGTTTCCGTCGGCCTGGATAGGTTAGGTGGGCGTGCTTGGGCGCTACGTTTCGGGTCAGGCAAAACATATGTATTTTTTACGGAGTGGGAAGTCGAGAGAACGTGTCAATCATGTTGATAGGAAAGAATATTATTATATAATATGAGCTTCAATATCGTTATTATTTCCAGCGTTATCATAGTTGTTTGTGTCGTCTGGAAAGTTGATGATGTGAGTTGTCATGTTGTCAACTGTGTCGTTGATGTGTGGGATGTAATGGGTTGGCCCCAAAATGGACCCCTTGTGGGGCCCCTGTTTGCCACATTTCTCTAATCCTATTTATTCCCATTTAGCACTACTCTTTGTTGTCTGTGTTTTATCCATTCTGGTATGCTGACATTTATTCCATGTGACGGTAATTTAGTTGCCAGTCTTTCATGTGGTTCATTGTCAAAGATTTAGCGAAACACATATGTAACTACATCAACCGGAAGTCCTTTGTCTAAATAGCCGGTTACTGTTTCCAGAAATGTGAGCAGGTGTGTAACGCAGAATCTATTTCTAACAAACCCAAGTTGTGTTGACTTTACAAGACTGTTCACTGTGAGGTTCTTAAAATCTTGAGGTTATCTTGAGGTGATTTCGGGGCTTAGTGTCCCCGCGGCCCGGTCCTCAACCAGGCCTCCACCCCCAGGAAGCAGCCCGTGACAGCTGACTAACACCTAGGTACCTATTTACTGCTAGGTAACAGGGCATTAGGGTGAAACAAACTCTGCCCATTGTTTCTCGCCGTCGCCCGGGATCGAACCTGGGACCACAGGATTACGCGTCCAGTGTTCTGTCCGCTCAGCCACCGGCTCCCACAAAGATGGAGAATGGTTCCCTCCCTGAGGATGCTCTCCGTGAGCTTGTAGATTTGTGATGTGCAGCTGTCTGGACGGTACTTCTCTGCTTAGACCTTTCTGCCTTTTCTGAAAGTAGGGGCGACATTTGCATATTTGTTATGTAGTGGGACTATCCCTTGGTCCAGAGACTTTGTGAAGGGAGTTTCCGTGCCAGGCACAGTTCTTGTGGCAGTTCCTTTATGACTTTTGGAGTGTATTCCATCCGCACCTGAAGCTGTTGAGTCCTTTAGTTTGTCAATGTTCTTCCTGATTAATGTGGCAAGTTATGGTCATGTTCCTTAATACATTCTCTTCACCTCCTTCAGACATGTGTGTGTGGGTGATGGGGTGTTGTCTAACCTCTCTAGTGTGTGGGTGATGGGGTGTTGTCTAACCTCTCTAGTGTGTGGGTGATGGGGTGTTGGCTAACCTCTCTAGTGTGGGTGATGGGGTGTTGTCTAACCTCTCTAGTGTGTGGGTGATGGGGTGTTGTCTAACCTCTCTAGTGTGGGTGATGGGGTGTTGTCTAACCTCTCTAGTGTGGGGGGTGATGGGGTGTTGTCTAACCTCTCTAGTGTGTGGGTGATGGGGTGTGATGGGGTGTTGTCTAACCTCTCTAGTGTGTGGATGGGGTGTGTCTAACCTCTCTAGTGGGTGTTGTCTAACCTCTCTAGTGTGTGGTGATGGGGTGTTGTCTAACCTCTCTAGTGTGGGTGATGGGGTGTTGTCTAACCTCTCTAGTGTGTGGGGGTGATGGGGTGTTGTCTAACCTCTCTAGTGTGTGGGTGATGGGGTGTTGTCTAACCTCTCTAGTGTGTGTGGGTGATGGGGTGTTGTCTAACCTCTCTAGTGTGTGTGGGTGATGGGGTGTTGTCTAACCTCTCTAGTGTGTGTGGGTGATGGGGTGTTGTCTAACCTCTCTAGTGTGTGTGGGTGATGGGGTGTTGTCTAACCTCTCTAGTGTGTGGGTGATGGGGTGTTGGCTAACCTCTCTAGTGTGTGGGGGTGATGGGGTGTTGTCTAACCTCTCTAGTGTGTGGGTGATGGGGTGTTGGCTAACCTCTCTAGTGTGGGTGATGGGGTGTTGTCTAACCTCTCTAGTGTGTGGGTGATGGGGTGTTGTCTAACCTCTCTAGTGTGTGGGTGATGGGGTGTTGTCTAACCTCTCTAGTGTGTGGGGGTGATGGGGTGTTGTCTAACCTCTCTAGTGTGTGGGTGATGGGGTGTTGTCTAACCTCTCTAGTGTGTGTGGGTGATGGGGTGTTGTCTAACCTCTCTAGTGTGTGTGGGTGATGGGGTGTTGTCTAACCTCTCTAGTGTGTGTGATGGGGTGATGGGGTGATGGGGTGTTGTCTAACCTCTCTAGTGTGTGGGGGTGATGGGGTGTTGTCTAACCTCTCTAGTGTGTGGGGGGTGATGGGGTGTTGTCTAACCTCTCTAGTGTGTGGTGATGGGGTGTTGTCTAACCTCTCTAGTGTGTGGTGATCTCTAGGTGGTGTTGTCTAACCTCTCTAGTGTGTGGTGATGGGGTGTCTCTAGGTGGGTGTGGGGTGTTGTCTAACCTCTCTAGTGTGTGTGGGTGATGGGGTGTTGTCTAACCTCTCTAGTGTGTGGGTGATGGGGTGTTGTCTAACCTCTCTAGTGTGTGGTGATGGGGTGTTGTCTAACCTCTCTAGTGTGGGTGATGGGGTGTTGTCTAACCTCTCTAGTGTGTGGGGGTGATGGGGTGTTGTCTAACCTCTCTAGTGTGTGGGTGATGGGGTGTTGTCTAACCTCTCTAGTGTGGGTGATGGGGTGTTGTCTAACCTCTCTAGTGTGGGTGATGGGGTGTTGTCTAACCTCTCTAGTGTGTGGGTGATGGGGTGTTGTCTAACCTCTCTAGTGTGTGGGTGATGGGGTGTTGTCTAACCTCTCTAGTGTGGGTGATGGGGTGTTGTCTAACCTCTCTAGTGTGTGGGTGATGGGGTGTTGTCTAACCTCTCTAGTGTGTGGGTGATGGGGTGTTGTCTAACCTCTCTAGTGTGGGTGATGGGGTGTTGTCTAACCTCTCTAGTGTGGGTGATGGGGTGTTGTCTAACCTCTCTAGTGTGTGTGATGGGGTGTTGTCTAACCTCTCTAGTGTGGGTGATGGGGTGTTGTCTAACCTCTCTAGTGTGTGGGTGATGGGGTGTTGTCTAACTTCTCTAGTGTGGGTGATGGGGTGTTGTCTAACCTCTCTAGTGTGTGGGGGTGATGGGGTGTTGTCTAACCTCTCTAGTGTGTGGGTGATGGGGTGTTGTCTAACCTCTCTAGTGTGGGTGATGGGGTGTTGTCTAACCTCTCTAGTGTGGGTGATGGGGTGTTGTCTAACCTCTCTAGTGTGGGGGTGATGGGGTGTTGTCTAACCTCTCTAGTGTGGGTGATGGGGTGTTGTCTAACCTCTCTAGTGTGGGTGATGGGGTGTTGTATAACCTCTCTAGTGTGGGGGTGATGGGGTGTTGTCTAACCTCTCTAGTGTGTGTGATGGGGTGTTGTCTAACCTCTCTAGTGTGGGTGATGGGGTGTTGTCTAACCTCTCTAGTGTGTGGGTGATGGGGTGTTGTCTAACTTCTCTAGTGTGGGTGATGGGGTGTTGTCTAACCTCTCTAGTGTGGGTGATGGGGTGTTGTCTAACCTCTCTAGTGTGGGTGATGGGGTGTTGTCTAACCTCTCTAGTGTGTGGGTGATGGGGTGTTGTCTAACCTCTCTAGTGTGTGGGGGTGATGGGGTGTTGTCTAACCTCTCTAGTGTGGGTGATGGGGTGTTGTCTAACCTCTCTAGTGTGGGTGATGGGGTGTTGTCTAACCTCTCTAGTGTGGGTGATGGGGTGTTGTCTAACCTCTCTAGTGTGTGGGTGATGGGGTGTTGTCTAACCTCTCTAGTGTGGGTGATGGGGTGTTGTCTAACCTCTCTAGTGTGGGTGATGGGGTGTTGTCTAACCTCTCTAGTGTGGGTGATGGGGTGTTGTCTAACCTCTCTAGTGTGGGTGATGGGGTGTTGTCTAACCTCTCTAGTGTGGGTGATGGGGTGTTGTCTAACCTCTCTAGTGTGTGGGGGTGATGGAGTGTTGTCTAACCTCTCTAGTGTGTGTGGGTGATGGGGTGTTGTCTAACCTCTCTAGTGTGTGTGGGTGATGGGGTGTTGTCTAACCTCTCTAGTGTGTGTGGGTGATGGGGTGTTGTCTAACCTCTCTAGTGTGTGTGGGTGATGGGGTGTTGTCTAACCTCTCTAGTGTGGGTGATGGGGTGTTGTCTAACCTCTCTAGTGTGGGTGATGGGGTGTTGTCTAACCTCTCTAGTGTGGGTGATGGGGTGTTGTCTAACCTCTCTAGTGTGTGGGTGATGGGGTGTTGTCTAACCTCTCTAGTGTCAACACTGATGTAAAGTATTTATTGAGAGTGTTTGCTGCCCTCTTGTCCTCCAATATAACTTGGTTAGTCTCATCTTATAAGGGTCCTACAGAGTCCTTTTAAGGGTCTTAGAGTCCTTTTAAGGGTCGTACAGAGTCCTTTTAAGGGTCTTACAGAGTCCTTTTAAGGGTCTTACAGAGTCCTTTGTTTTATTATTACTCCTTATATACACATAGAACAACTTAGGATCTTTCATTGTGTTATGGACAAGTTTTCTTTCTTAGTTCCTTTTGGCTGATCTGATTTCCTGGGTGAGTTTAGTGCCTTTCTGTGTGTCTTATAATGTATGATGTCCGTCGTGGAGGTATACATTCTCCAGAGGTTCCTGTTAGTTATCAGTGCTCGCTTTACTGCCTCAGTCATCCATCTAGTTCCCTGTTGTTTCTTACTCCTTTTGGGGCACATATTGTTGGACTTAATCTTAAATCCATCTTATAATATGGTGATGACATGAAGGGGTCGGCCCCCCCCCCTGCCTGAATGTGATCAGTCATACCCTCATGTTGGCACAAGATCTAGTATGCTGCTCCTCGTGTGGGCTCCACCACACACTGTGTCAGGAAGGAGTCCTGAACTAGATCTAGAAATTATTCTCCCTCTGCTTGTGCTGTTAGATTTACCCACTCTATGGGTTCCTGAGCCTATTGGGCTCTATCATATCTACACTTGAAACTGTGTATGGAGTCAGCCTCCACCACATCACTGCCTAGTGCATTCCATCTGTTAACTACTCTGAAACTGAATGAATTCTTTCTAACGTCTCTGTGGCTCATTTGGGTACACAGTTTCCACCTGTGTTCCCTTGTTCGTGTTCCACCCGCTTGATGAAGATTAAGCCACACAAGAGGTGGCACGGGCATGAATAGCCCGTGCTACCCGTGTTAAATAATCGGTCTTTATCTACCCTGTCAATTCCCCTGAGAATTTTGTATGTGGTGATCATGTCTTCCCGAGCTCTTCTGTCTTCCAGCGACAGAATGAAGTTTTGTGTGTGTGTGTGTGTGTGTGTGTGTGTGTGTGTGTGTGTGTGTGTGTGTGTGTGTGTGTGTGTGTGTGTGTGTGTGTGTGTGTGGTTTTCCCTCGTGTGGAGTTACCAGTTCAAAAAACACTGCCAAACCAGCTTGACTTGTCATCACTGTCGTGTCGACTCTCTACTGTAAATGTGTGTAATACAAGTACTGTTGTCCTGGTCCTCATACCCCAGCTCCTGGTCCTCATACCCCAGCTCCTGGTCCTCATACCCCAGCTCCTGGTCCTCATACCCCAGCTCCTGGTCCCCATACCCCAGCTCCTGGTCCTCATACCCCAGCTCCTGGTCCTCATACCCCAGCTCCTGGTCCTCATACCCCAGCTCCTGGTCCTCATACCCCAGCTCCTGGTCCCCATACCCCAGCTCCTGATCCTCATACCCCAGCTCCTGGTCCTCATACCCCAGCTCCTGGTCCTCATACCCCAGCTCCTGGTCCTCATACCCCAGCTCCTGGTCCTCATACCCCAGCTCCTGGTCCTCATACCCCAGCTCCTGGTCCTCATACCCCAGCTCCTGGTCCTCATACCCCAGCTCCTGGTCCTCATACCCCAGCTCCTGGTCCTCATACCCCAGCTCCTGGTCCTCATACCCCAGCTCCTGGTCCTCATACCCCAGCTCCTGGTCCTCATACCCCAGCTCCTGGTCCTCATATCCCAGCTCCTGGTCCTCATACCCCAGCTCCTTGTCCTCATACCCCAGCTCCTGGTCCTCATATCCCAGCTCCTGGTCCTCATACCCCAGCTCCTGGTCCTCATACCCCAGCTCCTGGTCCTCATACACCAGCTCCTGGTCCTCATATCCCAGCTCCTGGTCCTCATACCCCAGCTCCTTGTCCTCATACCCCAGCTCCTGGTCCTCATATCCCAGCTCCTGGTCCTCATACCCCAGCTCCTGGTCCTCATACCCCAGCTCCTGGTCCTCATACCCCAGCTCCTGGTCCTCATACCCCAGCTCCTGGTCCTCATACCCCAGCTCCTTGTCCTCATACCCCAGCTCCTGGTCCTCATATCCCAGCTCCTGGTCCTCATACCCCAGCTCCTGGTCCTCATGCCCCAGCTCCTGGTCCTCATACCCCAGCTCCTGGTCCTCATATCCCAGCTCCTGGTCCTCATACCCCAGCTCCTGGTCCTCATACCCCAGCTCCTGGTCCTCATATCCCAGCTCCTGGTGTGGGAACCGACCTGTGAGATTTATATTTGTTTAATTTATATGAATTTATATTTACGTTAATTTATATACTTCGATAGCAATTTGTATAATGTTAAGTGGACTGTATTTCTGCAATCTCATAATCTCACAAATCGATCCTCTACACATTAGGGGGGTTTATTAAATTAATATATATGCAGCCAATCAAACTACAGTATTAACTACATAAATTGATGAGGTTCCTTATCTTATAGTACAGCAGGTTAGTCCACCAGGTATAACTAGGGTGTAGACACCAAATTATCCTCTTTGAGGTAGCTTCCATATCATCCAGTAACTGGTGCACAAATCTTGCATCCTCGTCTTGACCTGTCAAAAGTGTGCTAGCTGTGAAGCCAGAATCCTATATATGACAAGCTATATCAGAGAAAACACTATACAGTACATGGAACATTAAAGACCTGGCTTAATTACCTTTAGTTTGAGGCTTCCACATGATCTAACCGGATCACCCTATATCCTGACATTAATGGCCATAAATGAATGATAAACGGGTTTCGGATAGA